TTGGCCTTGAAATACCCTCGGAACCACCCAAAGAGGGGTTAGAACTACAAACCGATCCCTCGGAAAACAACCCCCTCCATGCCCAGTCTATATTGAAAAATAATCGAAGTTTACAATTTAAACGGCAGAAGACATTAAAATAACATAATGGTGGGCAACGTAATTTTGAACTGGCCAAGTGACGAGGACGACGCTTAAGCTCTTTACCACCACTATCTCCAAACTTCTACACCACGCCAACGATCAAGATTTAATATGCATCCAACCCTCTACACGGCGGGTTCTAACGGCACCAGGACTCGACCCCAAAACTTGACAAATACTCACAAATTCGCGAAAAAGACCATTCGACCTCTCCTAGAAAAATTTCGCTCAATTCAACACAAAATAATGAATCTTAGTAGTAGATTTAGAAGACCTATAAATAAATTCTTAGTTCTTAGATTTTTTTAGAAAATATAATGACCTATATTTCAATATTTTGGTTTGTAGCTAAATATTTTGAACCAATGTTGTATTGACTTGATATATTGCTTACTTGAAGCACTTCTGTCATCAGCTGTACGTGTCGAAGTACTCCGAATTTTTCAGCGTACATCTTAAAATACTGAAACATAACGGAGTTGTGCATAAAATTCGGGAAATGAGCTGGAGGCGGGAAGTCACTGAAAGAACTCAATTCTTTGCTGGTGTTGATGACGGTCGATTTCATTACAGACGGAATTCCTTCCTGATCGTCATCTCGGTAGCACCATAAGCCTCCAATGTTATCAGTCTTGTCAAATACCACGACGTCCAGGTCCTCTTCCAGACAACATTTGGCGGCCGTTAGTCCACAAGGACCGGCGCCGATGATTGCGATGCGCTTACTCTCCGACATCTTGAGGGCTGCAAAAATTATCCGGGATTAGAACATTTCACAAATACAACAAATGGATCGCTTACAATAGTACCAAAACCCGACACACAACTACTTTTCAATTTATAATACTTATCTTCCCGATTTCTTACGTATAAAAATTTTAATTGATTAGAATGTATCATTAAAACATTATTGGAACTCAATAAGAAAAACTTACATTTTAAAATTGAAATCAGAAAAGGTTTTATAATTTAAGACTTATTACAAATTGATCATAACGTTTTTTTTATCTTCTTTTATTTCCATATTTTTGGGATATACTTATACAAAAAACTCCACATTCAAAATAATTCATTTTTATGCATTCAAGAGTGAAAACCAGCAGTAAAAGCATAGAGGGGCTGGATGCTGTTTAGATGTTTTAATAACTTTAAGCACATTTGTTACTCCCTCTAAAGCAGTATAATTTAACAGTTTCAGTGTTCGAGTAGAATCTAAGTGAGATAGAATTTGTGAGAGTAAGTTATTTATGAATGTATTTCTATGAATAGGACACCCTTTAACTAAATATAACCCAACGTACCCAGTAATTACTCTATTTAAAGAGAACAGTTTCAACGCAAGTAGCTAGAGTTAACGAAGAACGTAGAGGTTTTAGTTTGGTATATTGCCATCTTTTTTCCACACTTTCAATTATCCGAATTAAAGTGTTTTAAAATGCTTGTAGCTGACCGAGCCTCGTGATTCTAGTACATTCAAAATAAACAACATCCTAAGCTCTAATGTATCATTTTTATAAGTAGGATGTTTATTTACAAAAATGTTAAAGAGTTACTACATTTTTCACTTATCTTTTTCAATCAAAGACTTCCATTTTAAGGTTAAGTATATTTCAGGTCTGTGTTTAGAGAATTGAAGTTATGTTTAAGACAATTCTCTTCCAGCTCAAGGAATATTGTACAGATATCCCTTTTGAGAGTCAACAATTTGCACTGAAAAATATTTTTTGAGGGTTAAAAATGCAACATTTTTTATCTATGCAATTAAACTTGAACAATTCATAAAACAGCTTAGTTGGAAAATTTAAAAATAATAATAAGATTCTTCAGAATTTTTACATAATAGATATATTTAAAAAAAATCCCATTTAAAGAAGAACTTGTTTATAAGTATAAATAATAAATGTTTTTCTACAAATTAAATCAGAAATGAAAAAATCTTATGAGTTTGTAAATACAAATCTTGTCCATTATGATATAATTAGGTGTATTTTTCGTATAATGTAATTCAGGGTGTTTTTTAGAAAACACAGTTTAGAAAAAAGATTCTGAGAAGAAGCTGAGACCCGGCACACAGAAAATATTCAAAAGTTGATGTTACAATAATCGTGTTTTTTTAATCTGAAAACCCTTTATTTTAAATATTAACTGATATTAAGAAACAATGGTAACCTAGAGAAGAAGGAAAGCTTGCAGTCAGCGGACCACTAGTTCGACTGCATTGCATTAAAGGCCAGTGTATTCAACATTAGGAGCTGATTCAAGTTCAACGACATCAAATTCCTGGAGTTTTCATCTAAAGTTTTTTTTAAATCATATACTCTTATCAATATTCAGAGTTAAGACCACCAGCTTAAATGTATTTTTAGTGGGATGTTAAAAATACATAATCTCTAAAACATTGACAGCGAGCTAGAGTTATATTAACGTCGCACTATAAAGCTGCACAACGGCTATTTGCAAATAACCTCGTCATTTTGAACCATGGTCAATGTGACGAGGAGGGCACAAGAGCTGCCCCCCCCCTTATCCTAACTTCCATACCTCACCAACGGGAGGACGTTTCAGCCTCGATATATTTAACGTGCACCGGCCCCTCTACGCGGCGGGTCTTCAGCGGCACAAGGCTCGAACTGATGACACGACAACCACGATTCCGTAACCTTGACTACTAGGCTACTACGGCCCTCCAAACTTAGAATACTTTCAGTTTCAATAGGATTATTTCAAGATATAGTTAAAACCTACACACAAAATCGAGTAATATGTATTAAATTTCAATGTATACTAAAATTTAATATTATGAAAAAAATGATTAAATTTTTATAAAATATACAATTATTAAAAATAAGTTTTTAAAATATTTCCTAAAATTTAAAAAATAATAATAAAATATTTAACTCTAAAAAAACCAATATTGTAGCATTTAAAATACAACCTTTATGACGATCATCCCGAACTCTCTGTAGTTCAGTTACTAGAAATATATAAATATCTGCTTAAATAGATATAAATGCTTTAAAACAATTCAAAAGTACATAGTAATTTCTTTAAAAATTCTTATAAAAATAGACGTATTACTTTAAAAAAAATGTTAAGAAACTTGTATGGATATCTAAAAATATTACCTTGGTTACCTTTTTTAAAAATCTGGAGATTTGTCTGTAAACGTATCAGGCCGATATTGAATCATTAAAAGATAATAGAAGGCGTAAGAAATATTACATAGGAACTGTTCTCTGAGAACTGACAAATGAAGGACTAAGTTCTTAATGAAAGGATGATCGTCATGTGGCTGATTTAGCTCTTTGTGACGTGCTAGGAAGAAAATTAACCTTATTTTGAGACTAACAAAGAATACCATTTCCTGTTTCAGATAGATATTCGCTGCTTTGTGAGATGTGTTATTTAAAACGTTTCTTTAAGAAATATAAGGATAATTTTTCGAATTTGCTTTATTAGCAATTTTTTCAAATTTTTTAGCATAATAAAGTAAGGGTCTATATAAATAACACGGTGAATCGAAATTCCTCTTAATGGCATTAAAATATATTAAAGGCAAAAAACAAATGTGTTTGGTTTTTATCTAGACTTGAATTATTTTAACTTGTAAAACGTAGTGGAGTTAACGAGTTAACTGTTTACATGTACACTAAGTTGAAATATATATTATATATATATATGATTTTCACCCGCTTTACGCAATACAAAATTTAGCAGTTCTACAACGTAATAGTACGCTACTATCCAGTAAAGAGGAATATCATAGGTTGATTATAAATGCTTATAATGTATGCATATTTAAAAAGTCGTCTAAAAGGCGAAGCGAATCTTTTTAAAATAATCTTTTTTGTCATGACAGAATTTGTTTCGTTCATTTTTAAATCGCAACACATTACTTATAGCCTACAATTTTTTATTTATTTTTATTTATTTATTTATTTTACCTTTTTATTGATTTTTCAACTACTCTTTGACACATTAAAATCTAGTCTCTTCTTTTTTTTTACATTTTACCTCTAAAATGAGCAAATGAATAAAAAAATTATTTGATATTGAACGTGACGTTGAAGAAGCGATTATATTTAAAGCCTAAAATTATGTCAACCTAAGCTGAATTGGACAATTTTGATGTCGACTCTAAGTTTCATCAAAACAACTGTACAAAAAAAAACAAAAAACAAAAAGAAAGAAAAAAAAATCTTTTTCTAAAAATTGTATATTGTTTTTATAATGTTTATCTTGTAACTTTTTTACTACCAAAAATTATGAGTATAAATTTTTTTCGCTTATCATTTTTATAGAATAAAAGTGCGATTCTAAATAAATATTAGCGGATTACTAAAATAAATTTCATTTGCTTATCTTTCATTAAATTTTTAAAAGAAATTCAAATTTATGGTTTAATTTTTGAATGTAAGATGAATTTTACTATACATATCATATATGAAGAATTAAATATTTTGTATTCGTATTGACAAAACGCTAAACGCCTACAAAGAGCTATTTTTTCCGGGATTAATTCATACATTTAGCATACTCAAGCGTCAGAGTGATTCATCCGCAAATCATACCCGCTTAAGGAATTATTAGACTGACTATTCTTCACGTAAAAATTCAGATTCTGCAAAATGCATTCTCAAGCATAGCAAAACTTTTGTGTATATTTTTTGTAATTTTTGTGTCCTATTCTTACATTTTGAGGAGATATTTAAAATTGATTTCATTTTATTTTTATTTACAACACACTTTGAAGGACTACTAGGGATTTCTTCATTCTGAACTACGGTCGCGGACGACAACCGAGTCGCACCACACTCTCCAAACTTTCACACCATGCCAATGCGAAGACTGGAAGTGTCAGGATGGCCGAGTGGTATAAGGAGGAACCAGATTTAAACTTTGGTTCGCGAGAGAGAGCGTGGGCTCGGAACCCCACTCCTGACAAATATACGAAGGAAGAAAGCACGCTACTCTTTTTGTGGCCGCGGTAGCCAAGCGGTCAAGGTATCGGACTCGTGGCTGGCGTGTCATGAGTTCGAGCCCAGTACCAATGAAGACCCACCGTGTAGGGAAACGATGCACGTTAAATCTGCCGAGAGTTCAAACGTCCTCCCGTTGGTGTGGTAGTTAGGAGAAGGGGTGCTAGCTCAGATGTTGTCCTCGTCACTTGACCATGGTCCAAAATTACAAAGTTCATCGCCAAAAGCCCTCGTGAAGTTGATCAGTGTGACGGTAATATTCTCTCACTCGCGAAGACTTTGAACCTCGACAGATTTAGCGTTTATCAGGCCCTTTAGAGAACATTTCAAAAAACTGTGCGAAAACGACTCATTTTAAAAGTGCCACTATTCATTTTACCTTCTCCGAGATATCAAGAACAGTCTCTGGCAGATGTGCTGAAAGTATCTTCTTATTTATTTGGAATGCCAAAGGCTATCTCCCTTTCTCAACCTGATTGAATGTTATAAAGCAATGGAATTTCAAAATAAAATGCTCGGTTTCTGATGTTCTGTACATTTAGCTGCTCATTTGGTACAAATTAAGTAGATGATTCTTGAAATTCTTTATTTGTATTTCAAGGCATTAGGCCTAAGTTACTCAAGGCCCTTTTACTAGTAAATACGCTCTTCGAAAAATAGTGCAAAAAAATTGTATAATAAAAAGGAGTTTCCAAGTAAAAAAGAGCCTGAAGCTCCCTTGTAAATTTTTAGATATGTGAATTTTAATTTATATGTTTGAGGAAAAGGATAAAAATTTGGAATTAAAAATACTAGAATGAGAGAGTGAGTGAATATTAACGCGTGTCGCATTGTTCAGCTACATGAAGGCTTTTGGCAAAGAAATTCGTATTTTGAACCATGGCCAAGGGACTAATACGATATCTGAGCTGGTACCCCCTTCCTAACTATCACACCACACCAACAGGAGGATGTTTGAGTTCTCAACAGATTTAATGAGTGCATCGCTCACAGCGCTAGGCTCCAACTCATGACACGCTGGCCACAAAAATACTAGAAATATTAAGAAAATAGTCATTGCTATTGTAATAAGTGTATTTTCTTTCGGTGAGATCAATTGAAATCGCTGAAGAATTTTGTGAGTCCAATAAAATGATGTTTAGCCTTTCTGAAATATTTTTGTGGTATTGAATTTTTAAAACATTCAGAAACATTTCCCCCCAATTTTCCTCTTTTGCGGTCTACATTTGAATCAATGTTTAAAAAATGATTTTTCAAACTTTGATCAAGTTTAAAACATCAGAAATTAAACTAGCATTTAATTAGTCATAGGGATCTAGAGAGAGAGAGAGAGAGATAATTGGTTAACTCAAATGAATCCAAAAGGCTGAAAATGAATCCAATATGTGTGTCAACATATGCGTGAAAAAATAATTAGCCCAAAATAATGAAAAAATCCTCCATGAAAAAAGTGAAAAATAATCCAACATAATTCTTTAGTGTTATTCTATATAGATCACATACATTTTAACATATACTAAAATAAAGCATTGATGAATTTAAGTTAATTTTGATGTTCAAAAAATGTATTACTTGGAAAAAATGCAAAACTCTTTTTATAAACAAAAAAGTTTCAACTCAGAAAGTATTTTCTCTTAAGCTTTCATCTTACATTAATTACTAAATAAATTTTTATTTTTTAATAAAATTTGACGAACATTTTCCCGTTAATAAACTGTATAAAGATTGCTACATTACTTACGAGTTTAAACATTCTTTTCTTTAATTATTGATAAAAATTCTCATCCAATTTAAACAATTAGAATATGTTTTACCCGATATTAAAAATTTCGAAATAGTATGTGCTATACAGAGTTAAAAAAATACTTTACTTTTACTTTGATTAAAAATAATATTTTATTATACCAGGATCTTACTAAAATGTTATTTTGTGTGATTTGATTTTCAAACGCTAAAACCTTGAACAAATGTTTATATTTTAAAAAAATGAAACTAATTTCGGAATATATGAAATTTCCGATTTTAGAAAACTGTCTTAAGCGGTGACAATTTTGCAATATTTATGAATATTTTGATGAGGATAAAAGAAAATCATATGATAAATCAAAAATAGTGATTTATATAAAATATATTTTGAAGGCGTGGAACAAGAATCTTATAATAGTTAAATAGTTAAATTCAGAAATACTTATATATATATAATGTACACTGGAATTTTTTCATTTAATTTGCAATTTGATTTTTAAATTTTTTATTTTCCCACCGATCCCAGACCGCATAAATTGAATTTTAAGGCGGCAAGAAGGAAAAGCAAACAAGGCAGTTAAAAAAAAATTTCATATTTTTATACAACGCTTACTCCAATATATAAAAAAAAAATAAACCCATTTTCATTAAAAAGTTCTCAGTTTTCAAAAAGTTTGTTTTTATTAATGCAACAGAATTGAAACTATTCTTTAAAGTTGTTATTTCTAGTTTTGTTGTTCATAATAATGATCTTTTATTTCACTATCAATATCATTTTATTTTTCAAAAATAGTTAAGATTCTTGAAAACTTGAAGGTAATAAAAATAGAACTTTTCAGTATTTTAACTTTGGGAATCAATATTTGGAAAAAACAGCTTTTCTAAATACTTTAAAACGTTGGATGAATATTTTCTTTCTTTTATTTTTCCTCTTTCATTCGTACTATCACAGCATCAAGAATTTCGAAGAATATTTTTTCTTTAAAGTCATGCATTTTAAACACGAATAATATCCGTTGATGTACAATATATTACTGTGAAAGGAATATTATTTCAGTGCTACTAAAATTTTATTTAAGTAAAGAGCTTTGCAATACTTAATCAGTTTGAAGTGTTAAATAAATTTTTATATTTTATTTTGTTGCATTTTTAGTTATATCATATTTTTAAAAAAAATAAATTGCGTTTAATATTTTATTTTCCCATAAAGCAGCGTGAGTTTTTATTTATATTTCAAAAATTTTACACTTATATAAATCGTAATGTATGTATATACAATATATTACTGTTTATACCGAAATTATTAAATAATTTTTTCCAAGTACAGCAAAAACGTACCTGTGTTTGATACTTTTCAAACACGCTATACACTCATTTGCAATACACAAATTCTAGTTTCTATGAAAGGATGCTTATAAAAACAATTATTTTAAGAATCTTTTCTGTCATTACAACAATTAAACATTTTCTTATTTATTCATTAATGATATCTAGAGAAAATGAAACAATGAAAATTTCCCACATACAAAAATCCTACTGCGAATTTTATTGTAATTAAGAGTCAGGAGGAGAAATATGTGAACCTAAATGATATATTGAAACGCAAAATATAAAACTTTGTTGTTATTGTTTTCCCTTAGTAACACACATAAGAAATAATATTTTTTAAAAAATTTATTCTACGTATTTGCACATACAAATGTCCTTTAACGTTCAAAACTAAGATGGGGGATTTCGTTGTAATTTTTAAGTTCGGTATCGTGAAGTGTTGAAATATAATTTCAAATAAAGGCTTTTTTTCACGCAGCAGATGCATTGGATGCAGACTTAAGAAAAAATTTTCGTAACCCTACTGAATTATGCGGAAATTATTATTTAAATCTTGGGGATATTTATCGTGCCCAGGTGATGCCTCATTGTCATCAGATGTCCCTAATCTTAGTCTTGTTCCTGCAGTTCATTATAGACAGCACGAAAGGTCGTGTTATTGAGCATAAATTATAACTGAAAATTTAGGCAGTTTCCATACTTATAGCCATTATTTTACCTACAATAAAAAGTATCAATGCAAAACGACTGTGTTTGAAATTACTGACGAAACTCGTTCATAAATACTAAGGAACTTCATCACAAATAAGCAAAAAGAAAATAAGAGATTTGAGTTTGTTTGATCTTTCATTGGTTAAACTAAAAGTTGTCCATACTGAGTGAGTTACGTTTAATTACATTCATTATGAGAGAATCTTAGTAACGCTATATAACTATGAATCTAATGTGTTCAACAAAATATTTAAGGTCAACTTAAGTTAATACTTAAATTCAAACTTAGTAACAAAGATTGTATAAACAGGAGAGGAGGATATGCAGAGAAATATTCATTATCAATATTTATACTTTCGTCACGAATTGCTTCCATTTAAAAAAGCGCATGAACATTATTTCAAAAAATCAGAGAATCCTTCTTTCAGTACTACGCATCTTAAATTCGTACTTTTATAAAGCTACAACAGGAAAAATGAAATAATGGAGCCAATGATTCATGAACATTTAACCAAACGAAGTTCAAATTTAAATAGAACACATTTCTGATAAAAGGGGAGGGAGGTGAATATTGAAGATCACATTGAAGAAGTTTATTAGTTATGTAACTAATAAACATTACATTGGATTGAAATAGCTAAACTGAAGTACATGGAAAGAAAGAAAACTAAAAAGAGCCTTTTCTAAGATTTTTCAAGAGAAATAGAACAAGAAATAATTGCTTACCTATTTCAGAAAGAGCTCTATGTATTTTATTCACATCTTGCTGCAAATCATGTAAACTACCCTTCAGAACCTTACGTATAGCATTTTCTACGGTTGTTGACAATAAGTCTGGACAACTGTTATCTAACGAATGTTCCACCTGGGGACATCTTATTGGCTGAGCCGGAGTATCAGGAATGCTTTCAACACTTAAAGCTGGGTTAGAGTATTCCAAGGGTTGTTCTGCAGGTATATGTTGCTTACGAAGTAAAGCTGAAGATGGTTTTTTGATTTCTTTTGATGCTGAGGAAGAACGACTTCGATATTTTTTATTTGCATATTCAGACATGCGGATACTCGTGGCTATGCGACTTCTTTCATTCATGGTACTTGTTGCTATACGACTTCGTTCATTCATGGTTAAAAAGGTTTTGTCTCATCAAAACAGTTAACTTTCATAAACGCGAATTTATC